TTGCTTGCGGCTGGTGCAAATGTAAGCCAAGCAGATGATAATGGTTTGGTTCCACTACATAATGCTTCCTCATTTGGTCACGTTGATGTGGTGAAAATTTTGTTGGAAAACGGTGCTGATACAAACGGGCGTATATTATGTGACAACTGACGTATGACGTATAACCTTTATGACATGATATTTGATGTATAACGTATATGACGTGATTCATTTGCTACATTAATTTATTGCTCATTGTTTAATTAACATACATATTCGTTTTCATTCCATCTTTGACATGTTTAACTGTTTTACTATTTCATCCTAAAAATATTTTAAATGAATTAAAATTTTTCCTATTGCGAAATATTCTTTAACAGATGAAATTAATTACTAATTGAATTGAATTCTTTCTTTTCATTTCACTAATTATTATAATTGTATTTTTAATAAAGTATGAATTTTTATTCTATAAATATTAGTAGAAATAAAAGCTATGCGATCGTATTCTTTTTTATTCAATTATTATTTCAAAAACAATAGTTAGTTAATTTTAAGCTATAAATAATTGCAACAACTTCCTTCTTCTTTTCTTGCAATGTAATATTTTTTGAATTACAATTTTTAGAATACAAGAATTACAATTTACAGTAGTCGAATTGTGTAACAGTTTCCATAACAAATAAATTTTCTACAAAAATAACAATTACAGTAGCAAGAAAAACAATTCGATAATCGTATGTTAAAGATGAATTTTGACTAATTTTTTATGATTGAGAAAGAAAAAAAGCGTAGTACAAAAATATATGTAATAAATAGTTCAATTGAATTTAATCATGCAGATAAATTTTGAAAATAATTAATTTGTTGCTATTAATTATTTATTAATATTATTATTATTATCATTATTATTATTATTACTATTGTTACTATTATTATTTTTATTATTATTGTTATTATTATTATTATCATTATTATTATTATTATTACTATTACTACTAACATTATTATTATTATTATTATTATTATTATTATTATCATTATTATTATTATTATTATTATTACTGTTATTACTAACATTATTATTTTTATTATTATTATTATTATTATCATTATTATTATTATTATTACTATTATTACTATTGTTATTTTTATTATTATTATTATTATTATTATTACTATAATTAATTATTTATTAGAACATCATCATCATCATCACAATTATTAATTAATATTATCATTGCTTTTTCTTTTTCGCTATAATACAGGAATATTTGCATAAATTTGAATGAGAAATATTGTCAGGAAAAGGTTATAAATTATTGTTGCACAAAATATGTTCACCGTTGAAATTCCTTCTCCTTCTCTTTTCGTTTTATTAATAAGGGAAGAAAGGAATTCGCCATTTTCATCCCATTTCAAATCATTCTTCTCTTTTTACACTGTTCAATTCAATTTGTTAAGGTTTTCTTTTATTTGGTTGTCGTATTGATTAGCAATTATCACAAAGTGATAATTAATTTTGAAAGTAATTATTTCGCTATAGTTATTTTCATTACTATAAAAACAAATAGATGATAATGTGAAAAAATCTTTGTCAATAGAAATCAAAATTAAATGATATCATCTTAAATTAAATTATCATCACAAGGCAATTTATGACTATTTTATTAACTGGCAATTATTATGTGATGATAAAAGATAAGTGATAATATATATGTTTTATATATTTATATGGGAAGAGAATTTATTCAGCATCTATCATCAGTGAATTAAAGCAAATTAAAAAACTGTTGCATTGCTTCTACGAATATTCTCATATTAATTAGGAAGAAAATTAAAATAAAAAATAAGCTTAATTGCACTAATTAAGATGCTTTAGCAATATTGCACACATATCAAATATTGATTTATACAATATTTTGCCATTTCAAACTAACTATTCGATCTAGGTTGCTAACATTGACCATTACTTCCTATTATACTAATAAAACATACTCACATACATACATCACACACACACACACACACACACACACACACACACACACACACACACATATATATATATATATACATACATATACATACAAACAATAAATACATAGACACATACAAACACAGACGCAGAAAATACACTCGGTGTCTCTTTGAAGAAGATAAAATTGATAAAGAACTTAGTGATATTCTAAGCATTGGCTCTTTTTTTGGCTCTTGGCCTAGGCTAATTTTTTGTATCAATTATATAGCATAGCAAACATAGCAGGAAATGATAGAATATTTCACTTTCATTTTTAATATATTAAATATAAGCAAAAATTCATTTTGAGATCATTTCGTTTGTTTGTTTGATTAATTTATAATTTATAAATAATAATATACTTTGAATTAGTAATATTATATTTATTATTTTCAGTTAGTATTTCAGTATAAAATAGTAAAATAGTATTTTATACTATTTTGTATATTTTATACTTATATAAATAATTAATGTAAGAATGTGTTAAGTTCAAGTTTAATATATTTAAAGATAATTATATTATATTTGTATAGCTAATATATTATCAACGAATATTATATAAGAGTTGTTTGTACGATCGATAAAATGTTATTTCAACAAAAATATCGATGAAATTAATATTACTATCACCACAGTAAGGTAAATGTTTACTACATTATCTTGAGCATAATAATAATAGTAGTAGTAATAATAATAATAGTAACAATAATATTAATATGTAAATAATCAATGAAATAATCTCTATTTAGTTATAACGGGAATAATAGAAATGATGATAATTATGATAGAGAATTTATTAATCGAATGGAATGTAATGTTGACAAATTGATTCTATCCAATATCATACGGGTGGGTAGCAAACAATAAATTTCAACAGGAAAATATTTCATAAAGTAGTAAATGAATGGATGGAATAAAAATTAAATGTATTTTTGGATATTTCCCAAATATGTCTCCCATATTTGATCATTTTGTTTATTAGGAATAATTTACTTTGAAATAGGAATTGTTGAAAATATTATATAATAATAATTATATTATTGCTCATTTTATAAATATTTTATTTTTCATGACCTTTTTCATGACCTCATGACCTCAATTTTTAGACTTTCAATTTCACTTTATTTATTCTTTTATTTTATTAATTGATAAATAATATATTTAATTGCTTATTGTCAGCTTTTTTCATTTTTAAATTTCATCCATTCTATTAAATGTGAATGAAATAGTAAATGAATAAAACGAAATAAATTTTATTTGTTTTATTAAATGTGAAAAAGAATAAAAATAAATCTATTCTATACTATTAAATATGAAATTAAAATAAATGATCTTATCAATTTTATCAGTTATTTTTTCTTTCGGAATAGAATTACTTCAAATTTTAGGTTTAATAAAAATTAAAATTAGCCTTTTTGTTATTGACATATTTACTATTGAAATTTCTATTAAATGCAAAAGTTAATTTATCGATTATAATATTTCTACTTTTAAACTAATAAATTTTGCATTAATTGAACGCGCAAAACAAATTTTTACGATGGATGAGGATATAGGTGCATCATTGGAATTAATTTTTTCAAATTTCATACCTATTATTTAATTGGGAGTTTTAAATGAATAAAAGGTATTGATGGATAAAAGCCTTACCAAAAACCAGTAGCTCCTTGATTTTGCTATTTTTGCGTAAAGTAAATTTTTGTGGAGAAGGATATAGGTGGATCTTTGGAATAAATTTTTTCAAATTTCATACCTAATATTTAACTGAGAATTTTAAATGAATGAAAGAGGTATTGATAGATAAAAGCCTTACCAAAAACTAATAGCTCTTTGATTTTACTATTTTTACATAAAGCAAATTTTTATTAAGGAGGATATAGGTGGATATCTTTGGAACTAATTTTTCCAAATTTCATACCTAATATTTAACTGGGAATTTTAAATGAATGAAAGAGGTATTGATAGATAAAAGCCTTACCAAAAACTAATAGCTCTTTTGATTTTTTATCAAAGAAAAACAAAAAATCGGAATTAATTGCTATTCGATATTTCCCAATCGCTTCCCATTGGGAAAAATTTATAATAATGAAATTGAAATGGATTTCCTGTCAAGAAAATTTCCCTCAAACATCCAACCAAATAAACGATTTTAACAATTTCATTACAATAATAATTATCATAAAAAGTATTAATTATTTATAGCTAATTAATTATTTGTTTAAATTAAAAAGAAAAAAATAAACTCTTTGCAATTTTTATATAAATAAATTTTTGCTGCAAAAATTTCATCAAAATTATTTTCGATCACAAAAAAAAGGAGAGAATGAAATGAATGAAATTTCAATGATTTTATTTGTTTGAATGATTTGTTTGAGAGAGAAAGAGAGAGAGAGAGAGAAAAGAAAACAAGGAAAAAAATCAGGTTAAAACTATTTTAATTCCTTCGTTTTTCATTCGTCGTTTTTTAACGTTCCTTTCATTTCACAATTTTTATTATTCTTTGCATTTTTCTTATTTGGCCTAAAATTTTCCACTTAATTTTAATTCAATTATTTCATTCGATTATATATTATAATCCTTTTTTGAAATTACTAAATTATTACTGCCAAAATTAATTCATTGAAATCTTTTTCATCTTCGTTCATTATCATTATCATTCTTGATTTGATGATATTTGTTATCATTATCATTCTTATAATGAACGATATATATATATCATTGTTTTTTTTTTTGATATTATCATCATCAAATCAAGAATGATAATGAACGATATATATATATCATTGTTTTTTTGATATTATCATCATCAAATCAAGAATGATAATGAACGATATATATATATATCATTGTTTTTCGTCGATGATTTCATGAATTAGTTTATCGTTGTTTTTTGATAGCATTTAATTAAGGATTAATTTTAGGTATGATTTGATTTGAGAATTTCTGGAGAAATTAATTTATGAATCATCATTGATAATTTTGTAGAATTTAATAGAAAAGAAGTTAAAAAGAGATAATTACTTATCAGTTAATATCAAAATTATTTCATGAAGATTTATGCTAAATTTGATTAAAAAAACTTTACTTTTATTTCCATATAAGTTATTGCTTGTTATAATTTTGAGAGCTGGAGAGAGAGAGAGAGAGAGAGAGAGAGAGAGAGAGAGAGAGAGAGGGAAGAAAAGAAGGGCAAGGTAGTGTTCCTCAAATTAGGCTATTGCTTTGGTTGGCAAATTTTAATACCAGTTAATTTATATTTATTATTAATTGCTACTGTAATCGTAAAAATGTTTTATTTGATTTTCTGTCTTTCCTTCACTCTCTCCTATCACATATTGATTTGTTCGATTTTTGATTTGAAAATTTTTTCATCTTTAAATTATATTTTCAAAGATTTTTCTTTGTCCTCATAGATTGTTAAATATATTTATATGATTTAAAAAACAAATATGCTTATTAATTAAATTAAAATAATTATTATAGAAATATTAAACGAATCACTATCTGGTACTAGTGATTCATTTGTTGCAACAACAGTTGGAAGAGCAGAAACTTTGGTAAATAGCAATAGTAGAATTGAATTAAACGACGAGGTACCGGAACCGGTTGTTTCAGTGCTAATGAAGATGGAACAGATGAATACGTCTAATGAACTTGATTCACGTTCTGTTGCATCCATACGAACCGGTTCAAGTAGTTCCGGTGGCGCACTAACGGATAGTTTCAGTCCGAGGTTTTTTTCTTTCGCTCATATTTTTATTGATTTCTTAATTGCATCAAAATTTCTCCAAATTTAAATCGTTTTTAATTATTTTATTTTAGTAATATTACTTTCAAATTTTAAATTTCATTTCAAAATTTTGTAAATTTTATTATTTCAAAATTTATCAATTTTTAGTTTTATCTGATATTTCTTCATTTCACGATATTTTCCTCTTTTTTTTTAAAGGATAGAACCAGCTATCGAAAGTGTGACAGTTCCCACTAGGGCAGCTAATTTAACTGATTGTGATGGATTAGCTAATTTAATTGATTATATTAGGTAGCTAATTTAACTGATTGTGCTAGGCTAACTGATTCAAGTGATAATGCTAGGTTAGAATTTAACTGATAATGGTAGACTAGAATTTAATTGATAATGCTGAGCTAACCGATTTAATTGATTGTGACGGGCTAGCTAATTTAATTGATTGTATTAGGTTAGCTAATTTAACTGATTGTGCTAGGCTAACTAATTTAAGTGATAATGATAAATTAGAATTTAACTGATAATGGTAGACTAGATTTAATTGACAATGCTTGTAAGCTAGTTTGATTGATAGTGCTAGTCTAGTGATAAAAATAATTCATTTCTCTTAAAGTCTTCTATGTATTAGACAGAATTATTCAAGTTTAACTACAATTTCTGACTAATTCTCTTTTTCCTCTTTTACATAAAATTGAAAAGTTAAACTCTAAAAGCTCAATTTAATTTCAAAATAAATTTAGGCTATTTAATAGTTGAATTATTGTTTGCAAATGAAATTTTAATATTATACATCAAAGAAATGCTAATGTTTTCTTTTACAATTAATTTAGGTCAAATAAATCACGAGAAAATAGTGTACCAGCAGAGGATGATGAAGATTTGGATCTTTGGGCTATATGGGGAAATCTTGTCAAGAATTGGGAAGTGGAAATTCGGAAAAGGCCTAATTATATTAAGGTTTTTATAATTTTATGATTTCTATTTTCATAAAAAGAAATGATAACTATAAAAGCTCATGAATAGTTTTTTGTTATCATTCAAATGCTTTAAAACGGTTATGCAAATTATATTAATGGTTTCATAATTTAAAAATTTTTATTTTCATGAAAAGAAATAATAACTATAAAGGCTTAATAAATACAACAATATTAACTATAAAGTTTTTTGCTATCATTGAAATAGTTATGCCAACTAAAATATTGCAAATTTCTAATCAAATAAAAATTGTTTATTTAAATTTGAAATATTACAGCACTTTTTTTGGATCGTCTTTCTATGTTATAATTATGTTCCATAATTAGAAAGAATTTTCATATTCAAATTAATTAAAAATTTATGCTACTAAATTTTAAAAATGAAAACATAATTTTCTTAGTGTTTATTTTGTGTGAAAATGTCAGCTGTAAATATCCTTTGATAATAACCGAATTTATTAAATTATTTTTAATTAAACTTAAATTTACCTTATGTGTTAATTATTATAATTGATGAAATGTCTTTGAATAAATAAAAAAACAAATTGAAATATTTTATCGAATGGAAATTAATTTTAATTAAAAAAATATTTCAAAAATTAATAGATTTAAAGGAAACAAAAAACTTAAAGAGATTTTAAAGAAAACAAAAATAAAAATATCATTCTTCTATTATAATGGAAAAGAAAAGAGAAAAGAAAAAAAGTGTGGCAAATGATTAATTTTTTCTAATAATAGAGAAAGATAATAAGATGGTGAAGAAATAGCCTTATCATTTCTATTCGAATTAACAGAATAATGAGATGCAAATAGGAATATATTTCTAATAGTTAACAGACTTAATGAATGAATGATTAATCAGAAATGATTTCTAATAGTTAATGAATGATTAATCAGAAATGATTTCTAATAGTTAATAAATGAATGATTGATCAAAAATGCTATTTGCATTTTATTATTGAATATTTGAAATTTCGAATTAAAAAAAGACTTCAGAAACTAATAGTTTTAGAGAAGAAAACAATCATCTTTCTATTACGGCGGAAGAGGAAAGGAAATTTGAAATTGTGAATATATTCTTAAAAAATAAAGCTTTGAATAAAACTTTGATTTAGCAAATTAAAATGATATTAATTGAGTGTATTGTTAATTCATTAATTAAAATATTGATTGTAGAAATTTTAATTTTAGTAATATAATGTGATATTAAAAATAATTAAATATATTAATCCATTTCAAGTGAAAGTTGTAGGAACTTGCTCGTCGTGGTATTCCTCAACATTTTCGTACGATAGCTTGGCAACTATTAAGCGATGCTAATGTATCAACAGTTCATGATATTTATGCTGATTGTATGAGGCGATCATCGCCATATGAAAAAGTAAAAGTGTAAATATTTATTTTTGTTATTATTATAATGTGATTAAATAATTGTTTAGAGTAATTTATTTGTCAATTTTAATAAATTATATGATCAATTAAACATTATTTTTAATTGCTATTGCCATTATTTATTATTTATTGCTATTAATATGATTATTATTATCATTATTTGCTATTGTTGTCATTATCATTAATTATTATTATCATTATTATTTTTATCATTTTTATCATTACATTATTATTATTACTATCGTCGTTATTATCATTGTTATTATTATCATTATCATTATCATTATCGTTATTATTATTGTTATTAATTATTATTACTATTATTATTTATTACTACTATTATTAATTATTATTTTAATTATTATTATTAATAATGTTATAGGTAATATTACGTGATATTCCACGGACGTATCCCGAGTTGGAATTTTTCAAGGATAATGGTCGTGGACAACAAGCGCTTTTTAATGTTATTAAAGCATATAGTATACATGATAATGAAGTAGGCTATTGTCAAGGAAGTGCCTTTATTGTTGGACAATTACTATTGCAGGTATAATTTAAAGTTAATTAATTAGCAGAAGAGAAAAAACGCATAAGATTTTATCATAATTAAACAAACTCGTACTCATCCGTCCTTTACTCACTTATACACCTTGAATCACAGGTATCGGGTTTCAGGCTACGACTACTGGCGAAGTATAGTTAGAAATATTTTGTATCACGCATTGAGTTGAAAATTAAATGAAAGGGATCGAAATATTGGGTCTTTTCAATTTTCAATGATAAACTTCAAATGGCATCCAAGAGGTTAATTGATAAGGTTGTATTGTCCCCACAGTTTAGAATTCTTTTTCACTTTTTCACCTTGGCTCATAACATACTTATTATCTATAATCATCACTATTGCTATTATTATTATTATGAATATAGTTTTTAATTTAATTTAGATGCCTGAAGAAGAAGCATTTGCGGTATTTGTACGTTTAATGGAAACATATCGTTTAAGAGAATTATTTAAACCTGCAATGACCGAATTAGGTTTATGTATGTTTCAACTCGAGTGCCTTGTTCAGGTTAATTACTTTCTTACCTTCTATAAAATAATTTCAAGTTTAAGTGAAATTGAAAAGTTTTAATGAAATTGCTAATTAAATACATATTAGTAAGTTGAACATTTATATATCCGAATTCAACTCTTACTTTATCATGAATTTAATATATCCAATAAATGGCTTTCCTGGAAAAAACTTGCACAGACTTTATCCTATCAGATAAGGCTTATCATTAGGTTTAACATATTCAAAACTTCAAACCGCATCATTATTATTTGATCAGATGTGACTTAATCATGTTGCTTTGATTGAAACTTATGGGATATACAAAAATGTCAATATCCGATATTATCTGATATTAGAACAAAAATGTTGGATATTTACCAACAAAAAATGGCCAGTACACTTGTCCACACTACTACATTTAGATAGGATAAGATCTATAAATCAATTCCTTATGTTATTATTTTAAATTATACATTTTAACTTTTAATTTATTCATATCATTTAGCTTTATATTGGATAGATATATTTTTTTCTAATAACGAAGTGCTTAATTAATTAATTACAGTTAAATTTAGGAACAAATGCCAGATTTGTGTACGCATTTTAATAATATGGGTTTTGATACGAGTATGTATGCTAGCAGTTGGTTTTTGGCTCTTTTTACCACGACATTACCGCTTGAATTAGCTAACAGGATTATGGATATATTCCTTGCTGAAGTAATCATTAACTTATAATTTCAAAATGATAAGATAATATTTGGTATAATTTCTATTCCTATTTAATCAGTCCAATGAATAAATTTTAGAGAAACATTTGATATTATCATTTCTTGAAAGTTTAATTTATAATTGAATGCTTAATATGCACCGAGATTATCTGAATAAAAGTTTTTTATTCTATTCGTTATTTTAGTATTTTATAGGATAAACATTTTGTTGGCATAATTTTATATTAATTCATTGATTCAAGTTTAGTTTAAAGCCAATAAAATTAGATGGAATTATGCTAAAATTGATAAGATAAAGATATTTAATTTAAAGCTAATAAAATTAATTGGCATTGTGTTAAGACTGATAAGATAAAAAATCGTTACCGATTATCTTATTTAAATTTATCAGTTATTTGTGCTACTTTAAGATTGAAAGATAAAGATATTTAGTTTATAGCTAATAAAATTAGGTGGCATTGTGTTAAAATTAATAAAATAAAGAAATTTAATTTAAAGCTAATAGAATTAGTTGGCATTGTGTTAAAACTGATAAGATAAAAAATCGCTTACGATTATTTTATTTAAATTTATCGTGATACTTTAAGGATGAATGATAAAGGTATTTAGTTTAAAGCTAATAAAATTAGGTTTGGCAGCACATATAAAATGTAGTCAGTTTAAATTTTAATTGTTTTAACTATTAAACACTATTAAATTCACAACGGAATTTTATGATTTAACTGTTCAAAAGTTAACGATTGAAATTATACAATTTTAAATAGTTGGGCTTTTTATTCTATTTTAAAAGCTTTCTTATATGCGAGAAAAATTTCATCGTTTATTTTCTTCTTCAACTTACAACAACGTTTTGTTGAAATTCGGCCTTCGAATTTAATTACTGAAAAAAGAGTTTTATTTTAAGTAAGTAAATTTAACGGAAGTATTTTTTCAACATCTTTGTGGCATAATCCAATTAAATGGGTACAAATTATTAAATAGATAGTATAGCAATCTTTGGTTTGCAAAAAGCACATTGCATGCATTTTTGCATGCCAGAATATTATTTGCCTAAAATATACTTTAATCCATTTCTTTGATCACAAATTTTTGCTACCCTTTCTCAATAATTTTAATTCTGAAATGTAAAAATTCAATAGATGAAAATGAAAATTTGCTATTATCAGAAATTAATTTTATAATGGATATTTGTCGAAATATTTTTTGATAGATTTTTTTTGCAGAATCTTTTATAATAAATATTTTACTAAATTTTTCGTAAGAGATATTTTGCGGAATTTTTCCATTTTAATGTTTGATACGGATCGATAAAGTATATATTTTAATATTATCATGGAACTTTAGATTTTTCATTTACTTTAATCCTATTTGATCAGTTTATTTGAGGGAATGGAATTTATATTTCGTGTTTCATTGGCAATTTTACAACAAGCACGAATTGATTTGTTGAAACTTGATATGGAAGGAATGTTAAAGGTTAATTTCAGTATTTTTCTTTCATCCTAATTTCTCTATCAGTTAAGATAATCTTTGTTATATACAAAAAAAAAAGTTTGAATTCCGATCAATGATAACTGCTAGTATTGTTAATTATTTTAAGAATTTAATTTTTAATTTAAAAATTTAAAAATTAAAAATTAAATTAATTGTTTTAAGAAGTTTAAAAATTTAATTGTAGAAAAAAGAATTTGTTTAATTTAATGCAAAATTTGCAACATTATTTAATTTTAGGTTTCATTCATTACCGATCAAATTCTTGCTTATTGAAAAAAAATTCATTCAAATATTTTTGAAGTAATAATTTTTTGATCGTATAATTTTTACAGTATTTTCAACGTGACGTACGTGAACGATACGAGAATGATCATGAACTTTTATTTGTTGTTGCAAATAAAGTTACTCTAAATGCTAAGAAAATGAAAAAGTTAGTTGAACTAATCGCATTTACATAATAATAATAATAATAAAATGGATTTATGTAAAATTCAAATTTTTCAAAATCAATAAATTACAAAATTCTAACATTTAAATATATTATAATCATTACGTTAAAATTAATATTTAATTATTCAAATTTCAAAATTATTTATTCAATAATTTTATTAGTAATATAAATTGTATATTGATTATAACTTTATTATTGTTTCAGCGGTTCAATTTTTCTCTAATAATAATAGTAATATTTGTTAATTGAATTTTTAAATGAAAATTTTTGCTTGTCTTTTCTTTCAACAATATTACTTATCAATATTTTAAATCGATTGAAGAAAATGTGAAAATGATAAATTAGAAATGATTATTCTCCGGGAATGATTGCTTCTTCGGGAATGGCTAATTCCCGAATTGCTTTTATTACACAAAAAGCGAATTAAGCAATAATATCTTTTTTTTTTGTTCAGCGCTTTTTACAACTGTAGTTGAAAACGATGCAAAGAAAAATGATTCGTTGTTGTTTTATTTATTTTTCTTTTGAAAATACCGAACGGAAAGATCGAAAATTTTGTTTTGAATAATATATTATTGATTTTTAGTTTGTTATCGAAAAGAAAGAAAATTTACCGCGAAAGTTTCAGTTGTTATAATTAAATATAACAAAATTTATGTTTTTCCAAATATTTACGAATTCAAAAATTATTTTAAAAAATATTTTTGTTCTTATAAAATATCGAAATATCAATTATAAAATGCATTTATTATAATTAAATGTGATAAATTCACACTTTTTAAATATTTATAAATTTGTTGAAAAATTTTTTTTAATAAAATTTGGATTTGTCGACTGCGAAATGAAAAAAGAAAGTGGAAAATTTATTTTAAATTAGCATAAGTCAAGTTTACGTTGTACGTTTTTTTTAATATCATTGTAAAATATGCCTAATATATGGCTATAATTAAGTATAACTTGAATATAATGTAATATGTTAAGTATGATGTGATAATGATAATGATAATAATTGCAATAACAATAATTTTGATGATAGTAATAACAGTAATATTAATGATAACAACGATAATAATTAATAATAATAACAATAATGAACGATTTGTTCAATTACCAGATATTTCGTTTTTTTTGAAATTCTAATATTTTAATTCAAAACTTTTGAATTTAGCTAATAAAACGGTTCCAATGAATTTTAGGCTGGAAAAAGATTATTTGGCAAAACGTACGAAGGAACAAGAAGAGGCCATTGAATTGAGGGTTAGTGCTTTTATACATCGACGAATTATTCGATCTCAACTTAATATCAATCCATCCGTTAGTATAATATGTTAGAAGCTAATAAATTGCTTTACCATTTGTAGTTAAACATATCAAATTTTATTGAAATTAACAAATTTCATACTAATCAAAAATTTTTAATTAGCAAAGTTCTCTTTGATCTTTTTTTCAAATCCTTAAATTAAAAAATGAAATTATTATTAGGGAAATGAGGGAAATTTTTATTAGGGATTAGGTGATTTTATAACTTTTCATTACTTTTTGACAGCTTCATATATATTTGAAATTAATTATTGGTATTGTTTTAACTTAAAAATACTGAATTAAATTAGTTAATATTATCTGTTACGCACTGCAACATTTTTTTAAAAAAGAAATATTTATTTGCCTTAATTTTTTTTCTCTTATCTTAACTAATAATTGGTATTTTACGTGAAAAGTACTTGTAGCATAAGCGTAAAACACGTAATTTATACGCGGATCGATTAAATATTTCTTAAGATTTTTAAATACAAAGATTCTTTAATAATGAAAAATTTCATTTATATTAATTATTTGCTACTTTTTTTGTTAACAACTATCAAAATATATCTGATATACATTCGCTGATATGTTAACTTTTATTTACCAACATATCAAAGTACTCGGATCACATTTCCTAATTTAGTTTATAGATGAAATTGAAATATCTTACGAGATAATTGCATAATTGCTTATGAGATAATTGCATAAGTATCTTTTGCAAGATCATTTCTTTTGTATAGATTTTAAAATCAAGCTTGGGAAAAGTTGCACTCTATTATATAATTATTGGAAGATATAGAAAGACCATTTGTTTTTTCGTTCAAAACGAATTTCATATAAAAAATTTAAACAATCGAATAAATTGTCGATAATCATTCCATTCCATTTCTTACACTCTGTGAAATTAAAATTTGAAATTAATGCAACTCATTAAAATTTAATTAACAAATTAATTTAATTTATAATTTCCTACTCTTCTTATCCTAAATTATAAATGACTATAAATTAACTGAAATATTCTCATTTCCTTCATTGCATGTCAACTTTATTAATTTTATTGAACGAAGATGTGATATATACATCACTGCACGTGTCACGCAAACAACGTGCACGTGTGACACAAAGAATATCCATATGCGACACAAACAATATACACGTGTGATGCAAAAAATGTACACAAGCAATATACACGTATAACGCAAGAAATTTACTGTGCAACACAAATAATACGTACGTGTGACGCAAGAAATTTACATCTGCGACACAAACAATATAACACAAAAAATATAATCTACGATATAGACAATATACACGTATGACGCAAAAAAATACATAAACAATACATACGTGTGACGCAAGAAATTTACATATGCGACACAAACAATGTACAGGTAAACGATACATATATATTAGAGACAAACAACATACACGTGTAGCATGCATTGTACGTTTTGTTAATTAAAATCTTCTACTGGATGAGGCTCTATGATCATTTCTAAAAGATGCAAAAATTTCCTAATTCAGATTGATTTATTGCTATCGAATGAAGTCAGAAGCAAAACTTTTCCATTTCTTTAAACATTCATTAAAATTTCCTCTCTAATAATTAACAATTTAAATTGCCTAATTTTTATAGCATCAAAGAATATAAAATGCATTTGTATTAATGCAAAAATTACAATTTCAAAATTTGAAATTATAAATTACGAATTTATAAAATCTAAATTTTTAAAGTGAAAATATTGTTTTCCTAATATTCAATGTATTTTGCAAGAAAGGAGGAAATCATTAATTTAGAACTGAACATCAGCTCATCATTCATTTAAAATTTTCTTTTGCTATTTCTTTCCTATAATCATTTCCAACCAGTTGTTTGGTGGTACCTATTCGGCAATTATCGCTATTCCTATACCTTCTTTTTCTCTCTCACTCTCTTTCTTTTATCAAATCTTTTCTAATCTATCAATTATCGTTTTTTTTCGACCATTTAAAATGATTCATTGCTAACAGATTTTTCTCCTTTGTTTTTAATTTTTAATTTCATTAGTTGTTTTTAATTCCAAATGAATTTTAAAATCTCAACGGTTTTTTTCAATTAATTACTAAACTATTTGCATAATTTTACTAATTTTAGTGAAATTTAATTTTTCAAATTTTAAATTTGATTTATTAAATTGATGAAAAATTCAATTTATGATTCATATCAATTTATGACTCATATCGTTTGTTATAGTTGGAAGAAAAGTTTTTTAAATAAGAAATTATTTGCAGTCAACAAATCTTTCTATCAGTATTTTTTAATTCTGATTCATATTCATAACTTTAATTGGAATTTTTTCCTTAATTTCTATTTCAAATTAATTTCATCTTTTAAAACAATAGAAGAAAAATTATAATTAAAGATTACTCAGTTTTTTGATAGCTTATCTTTATTTCTCAACATTTTTTCAACTTTTTCTACTGCATAAAAAGTATTCAATTATACCATTTTAAAACATTGTATTTGATATAGTTAATTAGAATTTAAAAATATATTTAACAAGTGATATTCAATAAAGCTAATTGGTAATTAAAAATATATTTAATAAGGCGAATTTGAATTCAAAAATATTTCTTTTGTGTATTTGATATTTAATATATAAATTTTTGTTTACACTAAATTTGTTGCTGAAATATATTTACACTATTTATTACTTTACTTCTTAAACTATTAGCCTTTATTTGCGGTTCGATATCTCATAATTAAAATAGTAAGTAAGAATTAATTATATTATAATTTCAAATTTTGATAAATTATACCTTAAATAATTTATTTCATATATGTTTAAAAATGATTAGAATGTTAAGAAATAAAATGTTAAATTTAATAGTTTAAAAGGTTATCTCAATCAGAGATGTATCAGTGATATTTGGATAAATGTTTAAAGTTCAATATAGGTCAGTCAATTCGAAGTTGATTACATTTTGTTGATAGCATTAATGATAGGAATGCAATAGAGTGTTAATGTATATAACTTATTCTTTCCTAAATTTCATCATTCTATTATCTTTTATCAAATGACGGGAAAAAAAAACAATAGTGAAAAGAGTAATTAAAATTGTTAACGATTAATTAAAACTTTATTAATAATTGGTATCAAAATTATTCAAAATGATAAAATCGTTTTTTAAGAAAAAGATAAAAAATAGATTTTACCGTATTTTCGAATTTCAATTTTTATACTGGAATAATATATTACTGATAATGATTATTTTAAATGATAAGCATATATTATTTTGTATATACATTTTTTTCCTATAGCTAATTTATTTGTTTATTTATTCCTATTGCTAATTTTTGTTTTCAACATTTAATAATACGTGCAAACGGATGGTTGTTTTAATACGTATTTATATATCTATTCAGTTATTTATTTATTTTTTCAAAATGAGTGGATATTTTACTATATATTTATTTATTTATTTATTCAGTAATTTATTTATTTATTTTTTCCTATTGTTAATTATTGTTTTCAACATTTATTATTACATATAAATGGATGGATATTTTCATATATATTTATTTATTTATTCACTTATTTATTTATTTATTTTTCCTATCGCTAAATTTTTTCAACATTTTATGATATAGAAATTAATGGATATTTTAGTGCATATATTTATTTATTTGTTTATTTTTTCCTATTGCTAATTTTTGTTTTCAACATTTATTTATTTATTTTTTCCTATTTGGTTTATGCAAAAAAATAAATGGGTATTTTAATATATATTTATTTATTTGTTCAGTTATTTATTTATTTATTTTTCCTATCGCTTAATTTTTTCAACATTTAATAATATATCAATGAATGAATATTATAATATATATTTATTTATTTATTCATTTATTTATTTGTTTATTTTTTCCTGTAGCCAATTTATGTTTTCAACATTTAATATTAGACATATAAATGGATGGATATTGTTAATCGATCATTTCCATTAATGGTATTATATTTAATGAAGAATCTGAATATGTTTTCCATTTTTGTGAATTATGAAGGAAATGGATGAATAGAACTTTTTAGTAATTCTGAAGGATTATTTCTTAGAATTTCAATGAGTAAATTTTCTCGTACTTTGATATTTACATGAATTTATGTATGCAATTATTTATAAATAAGATTGTTGATCAAATTTCTTTTATTCTTTATTTTTTTTAGCCTATTATTTAAATCTCTCAAATGGTACTTAACATTATTTAAAGCTCTCAAATGGTACTTAACACTGAACAATCAATCAATAGGCTATACTTAAATGTTATTTATTGTTTGTTACAATAAGACATGAATAAAATGGTATATTTTCAAGTTTATGCAAAAAGAAAATTTATGACATTTTAAATATAATCTTTTAAAATGAGTGATAATAATAAAAGATAGCATTATTGATTTAAATTTTATAAAGAAAGAAAACGAATAATATAAGATAATATTTAAGTTAATTGTGTTCCAATTAAAAATTGCTATTTATAATTTTTAAATGTTCGAATTTCAAAAATGGAATTTTTGAAAGGATAGATGTTAAGATGAAAATGCGGAAATTTCATGTATTTGACAATATCGCCTCGTTCCATTTATTTGCTTTATTATTGAACATTTCATCAATTACTATTGCATCGTTATTCCTTATCACTGATAAAATAAAACATTTTGATCAATAATGTAAGGGATATTTATTATTGTTATTACCGATAATTTATGTAATAATTCATTTAATATAAATATGAATAATTTATTTAATATAAATTTGAGTAATATAATAATTTATTTTATATAAATTTGATTAATATAATAATTTATTTAATATAAACTTGAAAAATTAAAAATCCATTTATTCAGGTTGAAAAATTTATTTTTTAATTTTAAATGATTAGAAATTACAAATGATTACTCATTTATAATTATAGCAATTAAGGAATAATTGAAAAAGTTTCGTTCAAATTTTCAAAAATTATTTTACGTCCAAAAAAACTCCAACAAAAGATCTAA